CAGGGAGACAGAGCCGCAAAGATAGGAAGTCGTCGAAGCACTGGGGAAAGAGGGGGGAAGATAGAGCTTTGGTGGTTTGCTCACATTTTCCCCTAGAAAGTGAGGAGGGGCGGGGGGATTGTGTGCATGGTGGGGGATGAAGGCGTGGAGGCTGGGGAGAGATCGTCCGTCCGTCCGTCCGTCCCCGACCTGCTACCCCCCCTGCTTCCCTCCTCAGCCCCCCTTTGACGGCGAGGACGAGGAGGAGCTGTTCCAGGCCATCATGGAACAAACCGTCACCTACCCCAAGTCGCTCTCCCGGGAAGCCGTCGCCATCTGCAAGGGGGTGAGAGTCCCGACTCCCAGATGGTCCCCACTCGCACGCCAGGCGCCCCGCGGCCGCCCTCCGGGGCTGCCCACACAGCCGCTGTGCATAGCGATTAGAGGGGCTCCTACCCCTCAACCCTGTTTCCGCCTGCTGGAAACCATTTATATAACACAGCGGTTTGTTAGGACAATAATTGACTGCCCACTGTCCCCTCCTCCCCCTGTTCAAGCATGGCCCCTGTCCCACCCGCCTCTGCCGCCCCCACTCCCGGGCTGGAGGCAGGGCCTGCCTCTCCACAGCCAGGCGGCCCAGGTGAGCCTAAGTCGCCAGGTGTCCTCCGTGGGATCTTGGGCCAGTCAACGGTGCTCTGTAGCCTCGTCCCCTCTTCCTGAGTTAATGCGGGAGCGAGCGTGTAGCCTAGAGCAGCTTTCCACAGGTGTCCCCGCGCCTCTGGCCCCTGCCTCCCTGTCTCTCTGACTGTCTCTCTCTCTCTCTCTCTGGGTTTCTGTCGCATGCTCTGCCTCCATCTGCACACGATGGGGCTTCTGTGTCTCTCCCTTTCCTGTGTCCTCCGGTGTCTCTGTCTACCCCTTCCATCTCTGTTCTCTCTCTCTCTCTCTCTCTCTCTCTCCCTCTCTCTCTCTCTCTCCCTCTCTCTCTCTCCTTCTTCCCCCCACTCACACACACTCTGGGTCTGGGCCGTCTCTCTCTGACTTCCCTCCTCCACTCTTTCTGAGTCTGTCTTCATATCGGGTCCGCGTGCCTCCCTCTGAGGGTTTGTCTCGCGGGTCCCTGTCCCCTGCCCCCTCTCCTCCGTGGCCTGTGTTCTCGGGGTCTCTGCCCTCCCTCCTGGTTCTCCTCCTCTCTCTGGATCTCTATCGCACCCCTTTTTTTGGGGGGGCCTTTAATCTTTCTCTCTCTTTTCCTCTCCCTACCCCCTACCCCCTCTGCCTCTCCCATCCTCACCCTCCCCTGTCTGGGATCCCCCCCCCCCCCACCTTGTCCACTTCCTCTCGGTCTGGGTCTCCGTCTTCCTCTTTTTTTTTTTCTTTTTTTTTTCCATATCGGGCGGGTCTTTGTTCCTCTCTCTGGGGGTTTGTCTCTTGGGTCTCTAATCCCCCCTCCCTCTGCCCCTCCACCCCCCTCTCTGATTCTGTCCTTGTCCACTTCCTCCCTTTCTGGGTTCCTCTGGCCCTCACACCCTCACACCCTGATATTTCCTTCTCCGTCTGCCCTTGGGTCTGTGGGCTTGGATTCCATCTACCCCATTCTCACTCATCCCCTCCCCCTCTCTGCCTTTCTCCCCCCCGCCCCCCAATGCTGTCCCCCCTGCTATCCTTCCATCCTCGGATCTCTATGCTTGTGTCTCTCTGTCCCTCCGTCCTTGTCTCTCTCCCCCTCTTTCTCTGGGCCCCCCTGTCTGGGACTTGTCTGTCCGTCCGTCTCTCTGTGTCCCCCACAGTTCCTAACCAAGCACCCGGCCAAGCGCCTGGGCTCGGGGCCCGATGGGGAACCCACCATCCGAGCTCACGGCTTCTTCCGCTGGATCGACTGGGAGCGGCTGGAGCGGCTGGAGATCCCGCCTCCGTTCAGGCCCCGCCCGGTAGGTCGCCTTCCAGAGCAAAACCTTGGTCCCTGGGGGTGGGGGTGGAGGTGGGGTGGGTGGGGGGGCACCCAGGAGCCCCAGTACCTCTCTGAGGAGGGGGCGCGGGGTTCCCTCTGCGGAGACCCCCTGAAGGAGGACACAGAGGCCACAGGGATGTGCAGGGATCCCGGGGAGACAGGAGACGGATCTGGGGGGGACAGAGACAGGTACCCCGCGAGCGGGCAGAACGTCACGGTTCCTTCCCCGCGCCTCCCAGTGCGGCCGCAGCGGCGAGAACTTTGACAAGTTCTTCACGCGGGCGGCGCCAGCGCTGACCCCGCCGGACCGCCTGGTTCTGGCCAGCATCGACCAGGCCGACTTCGAGGGCTTCACCTACGTGAACCCGGACTTCGTCCACCCCGACGCCCGCAGCCCCATCAGCCCCGTCAGCCCGGCGCCGGTGCCAGTCATGTAATCCCGCCCTCCGCCGCTAGGTGTCCCCACGGCTCCCTGCGCCGCGCAAGCCTCCTGCCCGACCTCCCCGCCTCCCGAATTCTAGATCCTGCCCCCCAGCCTTCCGGCCCCCACCCCTTGGGGGCTCGGTGCCCCCTGACAAGCGTCCCCCACTCCACTCCACAGTCTCTAGAGCCTCCCCGGGCTCTAGATGCCGCTGCGCTGAGCCCCAGATTCTCACCCGCCGCCGTGTTCTGGACTCGGATCCCCCAGGTTCCAGAGCCACCCCCCCGACCCCCCACTCCACGGGCTTCTAGACTCCGACCTGGTAGCATCTCTGCCTCCTTCTTCTTTCCGTTCTTTTTCATTCTGGGAAATAGTCTCATGGGGTGGGCTGTTCCAGACTCGGGTTCCAGGACAAACCCCCCCCCCCACTCCGAGGCCCCGCCCCCCGTCCCCCGCGCCCCCTCCCCCATTCTGGAGTCCATGGGAGGCTGTGCCCCCGCGCTCCTGTGCCCTCTTCCACGCCCCGGGGATGCCTGGGGGGTGCGGGGAGCCTTTCCCCGGCTGTTCTCAATCAGCTTTCGTTCTAGACTCCCCCCTCCTAACCCATCCCAGTCCATCCCCCCCCCCCCGCCCCCGCCTGCCTGGTGCATGGCTCCAGTCCTGCTCGGAACCCCGCCCCCACCCCACGCCTGCCACTCTCGGGGACTCCCCCAGCTCCTCTCCTCTCTGCCGCTCCCATCTGGCCACAGCTGCTGGAGAATAAATTTGGGATGCTGACGCCGAGGTGTCCGGATGTTGTCTTCTCAGCTGGGAGAAGGAAGGGGGTGCGGAGGTGGGACAATGACTGCACTTAGAAGCAAACTGAGAGAATGGAGGGTGGGGGGCGGCAGACAGAGGGAAAGGGCCCTACTAGTAGCCGGTGTGGCTCCGTGGCTAGAGCGTCGGCCTGCGGACTGAAGGGTCCCGGGTTCGATTCCAGTCAAGGGCACATGCCACTGGGTTGCGGGCTCGATCCCCAGTGGGAGGCGTGCAGGAGGCAGAGCCGATTCCATGATTCTTTCTCATCATTGATGCTTCGATTTCTCCCTCCCTCTCCCTTCCTCTCTGAAATCAAAGTGCTGAGAGCCTGGGAAGGAGAGACAGGACTGAAGGGCACACGTGCCCAGGGAGAGGGCGATGCACAGGGCATCAGGGAGGGACAAGCTTACCCGGGAGCGCCGCACACTTACCCGGGAGCACCTCACGCGCTCCCAGACACACGCTGACACCCAGACACTGGAGAGCCCTGAGCGGGGAGATGAAAGGCAAACATCCCACGGGGACACCCGGGGGTCGGATCAGAGGGACGGACCCCAGGACACAGAAACCTAAGCGACCAGAACCCGTGAGCTGCAGGATCAGCGACAGAGACGGCAGGCCGACGCTCCAACCGGGCCTCCTTCCCTTGACCCACTTGCGAGTCGGGGGAGTGGAGAGGACAGCGCAAAAGGGACTACCCATCCCAGCAGACACCGCGGCGGACCCTTCCCCCCAAGTGCAGCCCCTCGCCGCCAGGGCTGCTGGGAGTTGTAGTCCCGGGCCCGGGCCGGCCGGTGGAATGGTGTGCCTATATAACTGCGTTTGGAAGGACTGAGCCCCAAAGCTTCGTGGGCTCCCTCGGGGCACCCCGGCGTCTCTTCATCCCTTTTGGGTTTCCGGGACTCAGTCTAGTTGGATGCTGGGGTTTCCCCTGTCTCCCCCAGCACCGCCGCGGTACCCCGAGCCCGTGTCCGCCGCCCCCAGCCCCCGTCCGACCCTCGGCGGGCGGCCTGCCCCTTTAAGAGTGGCCCCGCTGACATCACGGCGGGGGGCGGGGGGGGGGGCTGGCCCGGCTCCTGGCTCCGCGGCGGCTGCAGGACCCAGATCGCTCCGCGCCCGCCTGCTGCTCTGGGGACCCCGGCCCGGGACGCCCCCTCCCGCTGCCTCCAGCCGCCCTGACCCCAGGCTCCGCCCCAGGCCCGGCCAGAGCCCCAGCCCTCCTCAGGGGACCCCAAGGATTGTCGCTCCTCCCAGGGTCTCTCTCTGTCTCTCTGTCTGTCCCTCTGCCTGGCTCAAGGTGTCTGGGTCTCAGCATCCCTCAGCCCGAGGCCTCTGAGCGCCCCGGTCTCCTTGTGCCTCTGCGCGCCTGGCCTCCCCACTTCCTGCGCCCCAGCCTCGGAGCTGGGGAAGCGGGGGTCTGGGGCCCGCTCTCTGCCCCTCCTGCTCGCTCTCTCTCTGTCTGTCTCTTAGGCCATCTCTGGGTCCCCTCCGTCTGCAGCCCTGCGAGGCTCAGGACTGCTCAGCCTCGAGGTCTGGGGGTGCCTGGGTCCCCCGCTGTCTCCCACGCCTCCGTGCGCCCCTGCCTCTCCGCGCGCCCCTGCCCCGGTCCGCGCTCGGCTCGGTTTCCATCCTCGCTCTCCCTGCCTCCCCCATCCTCAGGGCCCAGCGCCCCCTCCCGCATCCCTCCCCGCCCCTCCCCTCCCTCCCCGCCCCTCCCCTCCTCCGCGGCAGCCAATGAGCGGCCGCGGGTCCCAGCTCCCGGCGTCGTCCGCCGAGTGAGGCCGCGGGCGCGGGGGGTGGGGGGTGGGAGGCCCGGAGGGGGCCGGGACGCCGGGCTCCGGGGCGGGGGCGGGGGGCGCGGGCGTCGGCGACCCCGGTGGCGGCGGCGGCGGCCGGGGGAAGCCGCGGGGCCGGTCATGCGGCTGCGGGGCCCGCGGCCCGGAGCGTCCGCCCAGCCCTGAGCGAGGTGAGCTGAGCGCGAGGGGAGGGTCCCGGAGGGAGGCGCGTGGCGGGGTGGGGGGTGGGGGGGCGCCCCTGGAGGTGACTGGGGGCCGGGGGTTGGAGCTCAAAGGGGCCTGGGTGGCTCTGGGGGCCGGCTTTCCGGAGGTCGGGACCTCCGAGTTCGGGAGGCGATGGGGGATGGAGGGACATTGGGCCTGGGGAACCGGAGGACGGGGTCCGAGGGTCCGGAGCGAGGCAACTCCACTCTTCGCGTCCGAGTCGTAGGGACCGTGGGCTCCGGGCAGGGCGCAGCCCAGGTCCTTGAGGGGGGCGGCCCTGGCGGAGAGGGCGGGAGGGAGGGCCTGGCCCGCTAAGAGCAGTACGTGAGTCTGGGAAAGGGTTCCCGGAAAGCGGGTATGTCCCCCCCAGAGGCTGGAAGGCGATGGAGTCAGGACTCGGGCTTGGAGGAGGGGACCCCGGAGACCCGAATGCGCGCGTCCTGGAGAGGCTGGGGAGAAGGAGCGGCCGGAGGCGCCGGGCCTGGGGGGAGGGTCCCCAAGGATGAGGCTGGCGGCTGGCGGAGAATGTAGAGTGAGGAGGAACTGGAGCAATGGAGGGGGCTGCTTCCAGGCGGGGAGCGAGCGGGGGGACCCCGAGCCGGGTCCCAGCCCGGGTCGGAGGAGCCGATGGGAGGAGCTGAGGTCAGCCACCTGGGCGCAGGCGGCCGGGGAAACTGGGTTTCGGAGCCTGGTTTCCGAGCCGAGCTGAGCTGAGCTGGCTAGACGAGGAGGAGAGAGGGGCTGGCGGTCAAGCCCGGAGCCATGGGACAGGGGGGATGGGAGGAAAGCTGGTCTGAGCTCCGCCAGACCGGATCCCCGAGTCCGCCAGGAGGCGGGGGGTGGGGTCGGGGCAGGTGGTGGTGGAAGTTGTCTGGGACCCCTCACTGGGGTGGGGCAGAGTTTCAAGGCTCCCGGCATAACGATGTTAAAAAGTGGGGGGGTCTCCAGTCTTGGTTGCATGGCCGGGACGTGTTGAGGGGCTCTTAACCTTCATAGTTCAAAAGATGATGGGGACTCTGGTACTCAGAGATGTAAAAGTCTCTGGCTGAGCTAGGATGGGGATCCCAGGGTGAGCCCCCCCCCCCCCCAAATCACGGGGTTGCCTAGTTTAGGGGAAAAAAGTCCGTGGTGGGGGCGAGGGTGGTGAATAATAAGGGATGAGGAGCATGCTCCTTGAATCTTCAGAGTCCTGATTGGAATTTGGGGGGGCCCAGCTATGAACTGGAGATCTCTTGTTTTGAGGATCCAGTGTTACGGGGATCAGAGTCCCAGGTTGGATGTTGAAGAGGGTCTGTAATTGGAAAGCCTTGCATGGGAAGTGGAGTCCAGAATCTCTAGTAGAGAATTCTGGGGTCTCGTGATGGGGGGGGGGGGGCGAAGGGAAGAGTGGGGCCCTGGACTTCCTGATTGGGGTGTTGAATTCAGAGCTCTGATCCTTGGTGTGGAGGGTCACTTGTTGGATTGGTGTGCTCTGGTTGGGGTGCTGAGTTGGGTGTGTGTGTGTGTGTGGGGGGGGGCGTTCCCTAGATCATGGTTTTGTCATTATGGAATCTCCATCCAAGTTTCTGGGTCCCAGGGTATGGGAACCCAGCAGCCTGGGATGGAGTTCCAGGACCCCAGGTCCAGGGGCCTGCCTGGATTTGAGGGTTGGGGGGGAATTCAGGTTCTGGGATATCAGATTGGGGCACCAGATTGAGGTCAAGATACAGGACCAGAGTTAGAAGGTCATGGGTGAAGTTCTTGGTGTTAGAATTGGGTCAAGAGATGAGTCTAAGAGTTTAAACTTAGGTGGAGGCCTCTACTCAAGGTCTTAGGTAGGCCTGAGGTCAAGGGCCTGAGGCCAGGGTATGGGGTGAGGGTCCTTGGTTGGTGACACGCTTGGGGGATTTCTGGTTTCTATTCAGAGACAGAATCCAAAAGAAAGGGGTCAGCAGATGGAGTCAAAATTGGGTGGCTTGAGTCAAGGTCTCTACACAGGTCACGCTGCTCAGCACCCAGTGCCCAAGTTTCAATACTCAGAGTCCCAGGTCCTGGCTCAGAGTTGAGGCCTCAGGCCCTTGTTGGAGTGTGGTTTTCAAGGTGTGTGGCTCGCACCAGGGCACAGAGTCAAGGCTGGGGGTGCGCGCCTGGCCCCAGGGCTGACGTGACTGATCGCTGTAATAGCTTCTGAGTCACAGGACCAGGCTCTGTCTGGTCTCATGTCTGTGGTTAAGGTCTTGGGTGAGCGCATGAGGTTTGGGTCGGAAGGCTTGGTTCTGGAGTTGAGAATCTAGAAACGGCATTTCTATAGGGTGTCCCAAAATTCACGCAAGATTTGAATTTTTCGTGAGCATTAACAACAACAACAACAAAAAATAAAAGCCTAATTTTACTTGGTTTATTGAATCAGATTCTAATATCTGTTGCCCTTTGATTTCAATCCCTTCAATTTGATAAGCATTACCAAGTGCCAATGATGGCCCAGGAGCAGGGACAATGAAGACCAATGAAGACCACGGCTTTGCGTATGTGCCAGCAAAGCCGTGGAGGCCATTTACCCGATGCGCTATTCCATACATAACCCTATACTGTATACTTTATGAATCAATAAAAAATTTACAATTTTTAATTATAAACCTTTGTTTTCTATCAAAATTACTTCTTGCGTGAATTTTGGGACACCCTTTAGTTGGAGTCATGATATTGGGCACCCACGTCTGGACACGTGGTTGGATTATGGTTGGAAATCTTATCCTGGAGTTGGGGGGAGGGGGTCTGGTGTGTGTTGGGGGGGTCTCTGATCAGGATCCAGACCCAGAGTACAAGTGACAAGTGCCAGGCTCAGGAAGGCCAGGCCTAGGAGTGAAGGTCAACATTGGGTGTCACTGGTTCAAATCCAGGGAGGACACAGAGGTCCAATGGGAGAGGGTTGGGGTTTGGTTGTGTCTGGCTGAGTCCGCGGTCCGTCCGGGGTGGCTGCCTGGGGGTGAGGAGTCTAGTGGGTCCCGCCGGACCTTCTCCAGGACAGCTTCCCTCCCCCAGGCCCCGCAGGGCGCCCCCCGCCGCTGAGGATGAGTCACTGCAGCAGCCGCGCCCTGACCCTGCTGAGCAGCGTGTTCGGTGCGTGCGGCCTGCTGCTGGTGGGCATCGCGGTCAGCACCGACTACTGGCTCTACATGGAGGAGGGCACGGTGCTGCCGCAGAACCAGACCACGGAGGTCAAGATGGCCCTGCACGCCGGCCTCTGGCGCGTCTGCTTCTTCGCAGGTACACACCTCACCGGCCCTCCGCTCGCCTGTCCCTGCCTGGCCTGGTGGGATCCCAGAGTTCTCTCTCTCTCTCTCTCTCTCTCTCTCTTTAAATATATTTTATTGATTTCTTACAGAGAGGAAGGGAGAGGGATAGAGAGTTAGAAACATCAATGAGAGAAACATCGACCAGCTGCCTCCTGCACACTCCCTACTGGGGATGTGCCTGCAACCAAGGTGCATGCCCTTGACTGGAATCGAACCTGGGACCCTTGAGTCCGCAGGACGACGCTCTATCCACTGAGCCAAACCAGTTAGGGCTCTCTCTCTTTTTAAAAAAGTGTAGATATAGATATAGATATAGATATAGATAGATATAGATATATAGATTTCACTGAGGAAGGGAGAGGGAGAGAGAGTTAGAAACATCAATGATGAGAGAGAATCATTGATTGGCTGCCTCCTGCACACCCCCTACTGGGGATGGAACCCGAAACCTGGGCATGTGCCCTTGATCAGAATCGAACCTGGGACCCTTGAGTCCACAAGCCGACGCTCTATCCACTGAGCCAAACCAGCTAGGGCTAAAAAATATATTTTTATTGATTTGAGAGAAAGAGAGAGAGAGAGAAACATAAATGAGAGGGAATCATTGATCGGCTGTCTCCTCTACGCCCCCTACTGGGGATCGAGTCCATAACCCAGGCATGTGCCCTGACCTGGAATCGAACCGTGACCTCCTGGTTCATAGGTCGACGCTCAACCACTGAGCCACGCCGGCCGGGCCATCCCATAGTTCTTTATTCTTCGTTCCATCTCTGGGTTCCAGAAATCCAGACACCCCTCCTGTTTCTGTCCTGGAGACTCGATTCCTCCCCCGAGACCCAATTCCAAGCCCTGTATGTCCTGCCTCCAGGAGCCCCAGTGCTCACACCATCTCCTGGTCCCTAACCCCCTGGGAACCGCAGTCTCCCCACCTCCCTTAGAGAGGTGGTCATCTAGGTTCAGAACTTGTCCCCTGGACAGCTCCAGTGCTGAATGGACAGGATAAAAAAAAAAACAAAATCCACGCCTCCCAACGATTACAGAGATGCCCTCTGCGAGGGATCTTGCCACCGCTGCCTGATTCTCTCTCGGGATCCAGGAGTCGTGGCCCACAGCCCCTCCTCACTTGGGACCTAGGGTTCCAGCCTTGTCCTCTCTCCATGGGGCTGGGCTCTCAGGCAGCCAAGAACAGGAGCCCCCAGGCCTCCCGCCCATCTCCTTCCCTAACCCTTGGGTTAAGCCGTCCCCAGCCCGAGGGTCTCCCCACTGTGCGTGGTGCCCCTGACTGCCTTTCCAGAGCTCAGGAACCTCTCATCCAGCCCTGCCCTCCTATCCTTCCCCCCCAGGTCGGGAGAAGGGTCGCTGCGTGGCCTCGGAATATTTTCTTGAACCGGAGATCAACTTGGTGACGGAAAACACGGAGAATATTCTGAGTGAGGGGAAGCGGGGGCCTGGGGAACAAGGGGGCAGGGTCCTGGGAGAAAGGGCAAGAGCAGGGGACGTGCCTGGGTAAGGAGGAGGGGTGGGAAAGGGGCGTGGCCTAGACAACGGGCGGGCGGGGCCAATGCAAAAGGGGTGGGGTCAAACCAAAGGGGGTGTGGCCTGGATGAAGGCCGCCAGTCAGCCCTGGAATTATCAGAAAGGGGAAGAGTCTGTGGAAAGGAGAGAAGCCACCCAAAGGGGTGAGGGGGATGGTGACGTTAGGGAGGTCATGGGGAATGGGGAGGTGTCCCCCCCAATTGCCCCCCTCACCCCCTGTCTCTCCCCTCCCCCAGAGACCGTGCGCACAGCCACCCCCTTCCCCATGGTCAGCCTCTTCCTCGTGTTCACCGCCTTCGTCATCAGCAACATCGGCCACATCCGCCCACAGAGGACCATTCTGGCCTTCGTTTCTGGAATCTTCTTCATCCTATCGGGTGAGCCCAAGGAAAGCATTTACGGGAGCTGGGGAGGGGGCGCTTTTTTAGGTTCTAGGTGGTTCCCTCCTGCACTAAGAAAGCCATTTCCTTGCTGTGTGTTCCTGGGGGAGTTGCAGAACCTCTCTGAGCCCCACTTTTCCTCTGGGAGGTGGAGAGAGCAGCGCCCATGTCACAGAGGCTGAAACTTAGCAGATGCTTATGAGATGCTCAGGGGGTACCAGGCTCTGATACTCAGGACCCTGTGAGGTAGACGCTATTAATAGACCCATTTCACAGATGAGAAAGCAAACACTGGGAGTGATGAGGTCATTTGCTCAGGGCCACACAGCCAGGGAGAGGCAGAGCTGGGCCTTTACTCCTGAGATTTCAGCAAGTCACAGATTACAGGGCTCTTTATGTCCGGTGCAACATTTTCTCTGAAAACTTTTCAAATAGAAAAGGCAAAAAATGTTGGAGCCACCACTTGAAGTCAATTATTACCCTATGATTAGATTTCATTTGTCCTGAATCTGTCCATCTATCTACTAGTATATTTCTACCCATCCATCAACCTTTCTCCTCCTCCTCCTCCTCCTTCTGATTATTATTATTATTAATTTAAAAATTATTGTTTTTAGAGAGAGATAGAGGAAGAAAGAGAGAGAGATTGATTTGTTCTGCCACTTATTTATGCATTCATTGGTTGATTCTTGTATGTGCCCTGACCGGGCATCGAACTTGCAACCTTGGTGTATCGGGCACGGTGCTCTAACCAACTGAGCTACCCAACCAGGGCTTTATCTCACTTTTTTTAAAAAAAAAAATGCGTTTCAAAGCGAGTTGCAGCATCGGTACACTTTGCCCTAAATACTTCCTTGTGCATGTCATTAGCTAGAATTCAATATGTGTCTCTAGTTCTTTCTCTTCCGAGCTAGGAGTGATTGCACGCCCTTCTCATAACATCTCTGCCCGGGAGTTATTATTAGCACTCGCTTAATAAAAACGGGGGTACTGAGGCCCGGAGTTGTGCAGGGAGTTGCCCAAGATTCCGGCATCAGCTGGTGCCTGAGGACTCGAGTGTGCTGAGGCTTGGAGGAGCGTCCTTCCTGGTGTCCCCTCTTCCCGATTGCAGCTGTTTGGTCTTCTCAGGTCAGGTCAGCCCAGGTCCCCTCAACTCTGTCACGTTTAACTCCCTCCATCTGGTCTACCTAACCCCAATCCATTCTGATTCAACTCTTCAGTTCCGTTCCAATGAATTCAACGTCATTAAACTCCATTCAGGTCCTTTTAACCCAGTTGATCTTTTACGAGCAAACCCTGTTGTTGGTCTCATTTCCATTCGGTCCCCGGGGGCCCCCATTCCGCTCCCCGTTTTGAGGTGCCTCTGCATATCAAGATGGGTTTTTTTGGATACCCCCTCCCCCATCCCCTTTCTGCTCCCCCAGCTCTCTCTAGTCTAGGCAAATCCTCCCTCGTGCCTCCAACGTGAACTGACGAGACTTTTTCCAGGGAAACCAGGGTGCCACACCTCTGTGCAAACTAGAATCACAGCATGTGGAGCCAGACACTGAGCTAAAATAAGACGCCTAGGCTGTCACCATCCCAGAGTGTCGGAGCGAAAGGGCTCATCATTTTTTTCAGATGGAAAAAAAAAAAAAGTGGCCTAGAGAGCGCGAGAAAGTGGGGCGTGGAAGTGTTCTTTAATCCGCCCAAGAGAAAGCCCCATTGTTTGCGGTTCACAGAGTTGGAAATAGCCGAGGAGACCTCGCTGCGTCCGGCAGTGGCCGGGCTGGGGTGAGAATGGAGGGTTTTCTCATCACAAAAGCCGTGCTTGCGCCAGTGCAGCAGGGCCCGACTTCCCAAGGTCAAGCTGAGGATCAATGATGCTGTCAGGGCTGGGAGTCAGGCCTCTGATGTAGCAACGGAGTCATTGGAAAGGCATTGAACTCTACTTCCTGACCTGGTTTCTCCAGGTCGTTTCATAGACTCTGACCTGTGCACCCACCGCAAGGGACCCATCGTGTACGTTCAAGGTGGTGGGGGTAGCGGCTGAAGGAGCCTGCTGCTGTGAACCCAGAGAGTCTGGGGTCCAAATCCCAACACTTCCTTTGTGTGTGCTACAGCCTTCCCTTGCGGAGCTGTTGAGAAAACAAATCGTGGCCAGGGGTCAGCAAACCTTTTATTTATTTGTTTATTTATTTAAAAAATATATTTTTATGGTTTCAGAGAGGAAGGTAGAAGGAGAGAGAGAGAGAAACAGCAATGATGAGAGAGAATCATGGATCAGCTGCCTCCCGCACGCCCCCCGACTGGGGATCGAGCCTGCAAACCCGGGCATGTGCCCTGACCTGGAATCGAACCCTGACCTTCTGGTTCATAGGTCGATGCTCAACCACTGAGCCACGCCAGCCGGGCTTATTTTTATTGTTATTGTTGAAAGTATGACATAGGTCCTCCCTTTCCCCCCATAAACCTCTTCCAGCCCTCGCCCGTCCTCCCCTCATCAAATTTAGATAGCAGATGTTTCAGACTTTGTGGGCCCTAGGGTTGTAGGGCCAAAGCACCCAGGGCAGTGGGCACAGCCCAGTTCCACGAATACTGTTACTTATGGACCCTAAGATTCAAAATTACTGTAATTTTCCTGGTTCACAAAATATTTTTTTAAATGTTTAACATTGAATTTATTAGCATTGGCTAATAAAATTATATAGGTTTCAGGGGTACAGTTCTCTAATGCATCACCTGTATATTGTATTGTGTGTTCACCACCCCAGACAATGGTATGGTGCTTACCAGAGAGAAAGGGAGCCAGGGCGGGGGGGGGGGGGGGCGAGTAGAGGGAGGTTGGAGTGAGTAAAGGGGGGATAAATGCTAATGGAATGAAATATTTTTTTCCTCCGCACCTTGAAATAGTGTAAAAACCAGGCTTAGCTCACAACCCGTACAGACACACACGGTGGGGCAAATCACTGTTTGCCAATTCCTGGCCTAGATCATAGCGTGAAGGGCCAACCTGGTGCCTGATCGATGACAATAACTACTGGACACGCGGTAGGTTTTTTACACACATGAATAGTCGTAGTAACAGCAACAAGCCTAATTATATACACTCTACTGAGTGCCATGGTTTGGGGAAGTTCTACGCGCTTTATGCAAATTAAGTTATCTCTCTTTCTTCGCCTGGCAAGGCAGACGTCATTATCATTCCCGTTTTCCAGTTGAGGAAACAGAAGCCATCAGAGGCTAAGTTGCTCCATCGGGGAAGCCGCACCACGGCACTCTCCTGCCCCAGGAGATCATAAAAACGAAGGTGATTTAAAAAGAGAGGAAAGGCCCTGGCCTGGCCGGTGTGGCTCAGTGGATGGAGCGTCGGCCTGCGGACTGACGTGTCCCGGGTTCGATTTTGGTCAGGGGCACATGCCAAGGTTTCGGGCTCAATCCCTGGTAGGGGCATGCAGGAGGCAGCCAGTCAATGATTCTCTCTCATCATTGATGCTTCTATTTCTCCCTCTCTGTAATCAATTAAAAAATATATATATATGTAATTAAAATGACAATAAAATAAAAAGAAAGGAAAGGATGGAAAATAGTACCGATATCTTAGATCTTAGAATGACATGATCTGGTCCAACCACCTCATGTTGCCAATGAGGAAACCAAGATGGAGAGAGAGAGAGAGAGAGAGAGGCCCTGTGGGGTTGGCATTCAGTCCTGGAAAAGGCAGTGCAAGTGTTGGGGCAGGAGAGGGAGAGGGACAGGGTCACACCGGGTGTTAAACACCCCTCAGGGCCTGTGTTGGGGATGGACTAGAAAATGGGAAACTGAGGAGGGGGCTTAAGCAGTGGCCGGAGCAACAGCAGATGAGGTTGGCGCTGAGCTGGGGCTGGGAGGATGAAGGGCTCTGAGAGAGAAGAATACCCACAGAAAAATCAATAGAACCAGGTGGCTGCCTGGGTTTGGTGGGTGAGAGACGGGGTGGGGAGTTAGAGTGGCATGGATTTCTTTCCTCCAGGTCATAAGAGGTGTGCTTCCCGGGCACGGCCCTTATGAACCCTTGACCCGCAAGAGCGCGTTCTATGCCCGTGCTCATGTATTCACTCATCAGACATCTACAGAGACCTCCTCCAGGCAGGCCCTGCACTGGGCACTGGAGACACGGCTGAATCCTAAACGACAGCCCGCATACGGCCACCCTCAGAACAGCCCCCAACCGCACGTCCGGCACAGCTAGTCTCTCGCCGCTGGCATCTTCAGTGCTTTGATGAGCTCCCATTGCACGTAGAATGCGCCCAAACTCCTCAGGCCGGCCTCCCCTGGTCAGATCTGTGACCTCAGATCTGTGACCTCATTTCCTAACCCACAGACACACCCTCCTTTGCTTATAACTTCAGCCGCACCGGCCTCCTGCTACTCCTTGAAAATGTACATCTCGCCCGTCTGACGTGGCTCCGTGGTTGAGCGTCAACCTGCGAACCAGGAGGTCACGGTTCCATTCCCGGTCAGGGCACAGGCCTGGGTTGCAGGCTCGATCCCCAGTAGAGGGCATTCAGGAGACACCCGATCGATGGTTCTCTTTCATCATGGATATTTCTATCTCCCTCTCCCTCTCCTCCCCCTCCCCCTCTCCCTCCCCCTCTCCCTCTCCCTCTCCCTCTCCCTCTCCCTCTCCCTCTCCCTCCCCCTCCCCCTCCCTCTCCCTCCTCCTCCCCCTCCCCCTCTCCCTCCCTCCCCCTCTCCCTCTCCCTCTCCCTCTCCCTCTCCCTCTCCCTCTCCCTCTCCCTCTCCCTCTCCCTCTCCCTCTCCCTCTCCCTCTCCCTCTCCCTTCCTTTCTCTGAAATAAATAAAAACATTAAAAAAGAAAAGAAAATGCACATCTCAGTCTCACCCAAGGACTTTTACACTCCTAGCCCTCCATACTCAAAGTCTTCCCCCTGACCCTCGAGTGAGGATTTTTGTTTTTTAAATATATTTTATTGATTTTAGAGAGGAAATGAGAAGGGGAGAGAGAAACATCAATG